CATAGTTAAGAATGGAGCCTATTGTAGCAAATTCTAGTTAAATACACAATGATTCAAGTTCATTACACAATGCTACTTATTCAGTATTATACAATAATACTGTTCCGGCTTACATACAAATTCGACTTAAGGACAGACCTTGGGAACGGAACTCATTCTTAAACTGGGGACTACCTGTAATTTGTATCCAGTATGAGTGAAACTTAATTGTTTGGAGCATTTCTAAATAATGAAATTAATTTTGGTGTGAGAAAAGGATGCCATATAATTGCTGGGTTTAGTTTGCCTTCTTTACTACAAGCCATCTTCTTGTCTCTTGCAACTCCTAGTATGAGTGCGTTCCAGAGGTGCAATTTAAAGTTGGAATGCCGTATTATTGCCTGGGAAAATTGTCAGCCTGCTTCCTCAAGAAGCATGCTTAGACACATGGTAGGGTTAGAAATGTTAAGTCTTTTCAGGGGAACAGAGTACTGAAAGAGACATTAATTTCTGGGAGAAAGTAGTTTGAGGGACAGTATGAAAGATGGTAGTGGAATTTTTGTTTAGTTGAGTCATGTTCTTAGTTTATATTCTTGAATTGGGAAGAGGGAAAAGCCAAGGTGCCTAGTTTTTAACTACTGGGGTCATAGCTCAGTAATGCAGCTGAACTGTCTACGGCAGAGTTGTAACCAGCCTTATTGCTCAGCTTTTGTCTAGCATCCACACAGTGTAGATACAGGAAGGGGTAGAGGGATTCTCATTAATGTGAATGACTACTGCCTGCAGGCCAACAGATAGCGGCAGTAGGGTGAGAAGGAGTGCTACCACATAATTTGCCCAGAGGGTTGTAACACCAAGCGTGGTTGATCAAGCAACTTTCTGAAAGGTATCCAGTGCAGAAATGATCACAGTCTTAAAGCGGTGCAGGTTTAATGTTTTTATCAGGGACTAGGACTGCAATAGTAGGTGTTCCGTATGGTTGCCTATGTTTGCATCTTGACTCACAGAAGCACTGGCTGGTCTTTCAGCTGATGGATGTTTAGACCTCACCTCCATACTGCATAGCATAATCTTTTGTAACACAAGCCTGTATTGCTTGGCACTTTTGAGACACAACAAGAAGAGGAGTGTCACTGCAGCTACAGAAGATGCCAGCTATCTACATAGCAGCAAAAGCATTTACGCTTCCCCCACCTTATACGCCACTGAACTGCTCTTCCTCTAGGCATGGTGGTTCAGGGCCAGCAACTGCATGGCACCTCCGTCTTCTGACTGCTTGTGACTCTTGGCTTTGCTGCTGGCAACTTATGTGCACTTTATATTATGGCTTGTAAAAGTTTGTCTTAATAAAGGTGTAGTGATTGCCAAATGAAGTCTGTCTCGTCTCAAACTTACTGGTACTACTGGAGAATAAGCTAGACTGGCAATTTCTGTCCAAACCAATTCCCATACCTTCAAGTAGAGGGAGCAGCAAGGCACATGCAGCAGATTGTGTACAGGGTACTGTTGTAATAGCAAGGCTACAGGCTGTTTGAGAACACCCTTGGCTAACTTGAATCCTTATGAGTTACTGCTGATTTTTAAGATTTTCAGAAATCTTGAAAAATCTTACAGTATGAGACACTAATAAGAATCACATCTCTTTTAAGACTATCATAGATAGCATGCAAAACTCCAAACAAACACAAGCAATAATAGCAGAAACTGCCGCAATCTAGTAGGTGTAGAGATTTTTGCAGCCCAGATACCTTAATCCTAGTCCATCTGTACATTTACAGTGGCATCAATAATTTTTGCACTTAACTTCCCTGGATATTGCATCTTTAAGGGAAAAGTAGTTCTACTTTTGAGCAGGGGCTTAGGCTGCAAAGTGAATTTTGGCCCATCCTAATGCACCGATTGATCACTGCTTGAATGGAGTTATGCTAGTGGTCCAAGTTCTTATTCCTTTATTAATTTGGAACACTGTTTCACAACTATTTTTCCAGAGATGAGCCTTACAAGAGAAATGTTTCACTCCCATAACTCCAGCTCAATAAATCCACTTGGTTGATAGCAACAGCATAAAAGGACATTCAAATCTTTGCAAAATATTCTCAGAGAACTGAATACAACAGTGTCATTTTATCCAATTCCCTGCTCCAGAGATGAATACTCATCTGAAGAGCCACCACAAATGCCCAGTCTCCCAAGGTCACAGGTGAGACTGACACCTTACTATGAAAAGTCATCTCTAGAAATTATCAATTCATGGGGCTCCCACAGGCTCCCTGCCCCCCACCAGGTTTCCCAAGAAAGGGTACCCCTTCAGAACAAGCACAGGTTTCTCCAGGCAACTGACTCTATCACTAGACTTGTGAGTAATCCTGAAACAGGTAGACTAATTTTTCTCCATAACTTAAATATGGAGAGCCAGAATAGTGAAACAGTTACGGGTTACACACTGGCTTGGGAGATGTTACCTCAAGTCCTCACACAAGCAAGGACCTTCTTGGTAACAAGGCCAGTCGCTCTCAGTCTAACTGCAGAGTGTTGTGAAGATACTAGAGGAGGACCATATGCATGTTAGCTTGAGCAGTCACAGAAAGGATACAGTACAAAGCTGGTAATAATTACTGCTAGTGTGAAATGTGGTTGCTTTCTAGGTAAAGTCCCATTAAAATGTATTTGTGCTTGGAGAAAAAACAAATTCTAGCCACAATCACTCAAAATGCATCTCTTCCCTCCCTACTGTCCCCGCCCCCAAAAAGATACAGGACCACGGAATTTATCACCCTGCTTTTTCCCTTTATTTATCCAAGTTAATCTTTTTTTTCCCCCCAAACAAACAACTCTTTAGAAAAAATAAACTGCCGAGGAAGATGCCCAGGCTTCTGGATAAAATAAATACATTTGGCCATTGCTATAGAATCTTCTTATAATCCACAAGTGAACTCAGGCAGGGAAAGAAGAGGGCTGGATGTTATCAGTAATAGCATCCCTCCCCACCATACAACAGACTACAGAGCACAGACAACATCACTTCACTTTGAACAGATCAGGATTTTGTGGGTTTTTTTTTTTTTTATACAAACGATAGCATTAAAAAATTAGTCCTTCTAATAGCTCACAACCAAAACAGAACAAAAAGTAGAAAGAATTTTAAATTCTTAAAACCCCTGATTTATGAAGCAGCAAGTGGTAGCAAAGTGCAAGTGATTTTTTTTTTCATGCGCTATTGCTATACACACATACATATACCTTTATATATAGATAGATAGATAGATTAGCAGGCAAATATACCTATATTGCACATTGGTTTCTTTCAGGGCACAATATAACGTGCCAGGACCTACGTGTGCTATATTGCATGGCTTGACTAATGGCTTTCTTTAGGCTAAGCAATTAAGCAGGAAGACTATGTGCCAGCGCATCGCATATGAGAAGGCCAGCATGAATTTTGCATTGCATTTTCCCTTTAAAAAGAAGTGTACATTGATAGTCATCTCTCTCTTCAAATCGCGGAAGAAGCTTCAGAGTTTGGCTAGAAGGAACTCCAGCAAACTGGAGTTCGAACTGCAGGAAACAGTCTGCTGCTTGTCACCTTTGCCCTCCCATCTCGCTTCAAAGAAGAAACCGCAGGGCCAAAATGGAGAAAGGAGACGTGAAAAGATGTGGGTCCAGGGGTAGGGGAAGGGTTACCACCTGGGGAAAAATAGGTATCATTTTGGCAATTGCTCAGGCACCAACTAAATCCTTTCAAAAGATACAAAATATATCCAGTGGGAATCAATTGAGGCATTACGGAAGTCTCATAAACGAATGAATAAACAGACAACTAAATACAATTATTCCAGTGGAGGGGGGGCAGAAACATCTTTGATTAGACACTTGCCAGTTAGTACTATGTCCAACTGGGGAATACGGAAACACCACAGGATGTGCAAGTCAAACAAGGCAAAGCACCAGGCAGTTCATCACGCCGTGAGGGGTGGAGGCAGAAATCAGTCTCCCAGCAAGTGGCACGATTGGCAGTTTGGGTTTGGTCTTGCCAAGAGGCTGCAGCCAGCACCAACGAGTAGAGGATGAATCCCCCAGGCTCCAGTTGGCTATTCTGTTTTGGACTCCTCCAGGATCTGTGGCAAGTTTTGATCCTTCCGTGAGGCAGCAGGCTTAGGTGCAGGGAGAGCTGCAGGTTCAGCACTGCCGCTGCCCCCACCGCTGCTACTCCCACCACTGCTGTAGTCCTGGATGGCCTTTGGCTCGTTGGTGTGGTAGGAACCCTTGTAACGGTGATGGTGAAGATACATCAAGAGAAGGGCTGCCGCCAACAGCAGAAGCAGGAAAAAGATAACTGGGAGAGGAAAGGCAGGAGTGGGGAAAGAAAGGGAAGAATTAGAATAACTAAAAAACCAGAGCTAATTGCAGATGGAATCTAACAGGGCTTAATATGAACACCTCTGGGCAACTCCCATGGCTTTCACCCTCTGTTCCACACTGGTCACTCACCTCCAATAATGACTGCAACCCAGCCATCATCATGGATGTACAAGAAGTCCACTACAACAGGCACAGAAGACATACAATTAAAACTAGATTCAAAATTCTGGAACCTCCTCCACTTCCAGACATTTGACCTCATTGGCTCAGTCCATCTGTGGATGGTCTCTCTCTTCCCTTTATGAAATCTCAGGTTTTTGAGAGGTGCGTCCTCTCTTCCTAGCGACCCTACACACTTTTTCTGCCAAAGCATCTGTGTGGCAAGTTCTTAGCCCAGCTTCTATGGGGAAACTCTTTGCTTTCCACATTGTCAGGCCTAGCCCAAGGAACTCCAAGAGACCATGTAAATTCAGTCCAGCTATGTTTATTACCTACAACCTACAAAAAGCAAGAAT